AGGCGGTGTTTTCTAGTTTCCGTGCGGGTCGTAGTGTTTCATCCAAAAAGCAAGAGTATTTTTTGCTGCCTGATTCTAAACACAATCGATATGTTATTGCTCCCTAGAGACGCAAATTTGTTTCTGCTACTGCAGAAGACTGTGACGCCTGCAAAGATTGACTGAGGCTCCCGCCTAACAGAGCTGTCGCAGAAGTTGCAGACCAAACACGGCGATTCGCAAAATTGTTTTTTTTTCGGGGCGGGTGGGGAGTTTGTTTCTTCCTAAGTTCTAGCATTCAGTGAGACTATTTGAATCATTTATCTGTTGGAGGTCTTGAAGTTTAACAGGAGCACGAGACCCCAATAATATATGTATTAATCCTTGCTTTGCCTAGAAGAGAAAATCCTCTGTTCCTTGACGAAAACAAGGAAATCCTCTTTAGTGCTAATCTTGAAATTCTGTGAGGAGTTAAAGCAAGTTATTTGCTCAGGTTTCTGTACAACACGTTTACTAGTTCAGCTCTGTTTTTATTTACGTGCTCTGTGCCTCACACGAGAAGATTAGGAGAACATTTGAACCACGTGCGTTGCACATACTCGTAGGTACAAGGAAAATATTTACATAAATCTGAAGTGGAGTGTAAGGGTGTCACTATATTCAACTGGAAAGAATTCGGTGTTGAGTTCTTAACATGACAATGAAAGAAAAGATTCCATAGAGAGCGAGGAATATATTTACGAGATGAGCAACTGTTAGCTTCTTATTCCAGTTCAGTGCATAGTGTGCAGCGGCAACTGACAATGAGATTACTTTATAGTGAGGAATATTAAATGATAATCACTGATTAAAATTAACTGGTGCTGAAAGTGATAACAACTTTAATTCACAAATTAAGAATAGTTACGTTAAAACAAATAGTCCATCCCTTTCACAAGGTTGAATCTAATAGTCAGACAGTTTTGACACTAAATCTAAATTGTCAAAACTGACACTAATCCGAAAAATGCGGGGAAATGCCACTTGTTTGCCGGTTATGATCTTCGCATTGTCTGTGTGGGACAATGAATAAGTATGGACAAGTAATATTACTTCACTAACAATGCAAAAGAAAAAGTCGAATTTATTGTGGCACTGCTCAAAGTACGCACCAGGAACTCTTAACTGTCTAATACATCGCAGTGTTTTATTCCGATTTTGCAGGTATTCCATCTCCTTCGACATCTCCAAAATCTGTAATAGTAACAACACAATCAAGTTCGTCAATAGATCAAGGTATGTCATATAAATGAAAGTAAAATAGTTTATTTATTATCAAATGAAGAGCTGCTGCATGTCTGTCTTTTGTATATGATTCTGTACTAATTTATTTATTAATATTAATTCTGTGCCACTTTCTGCCAAAACTGAAATCTAATTCAACAACATCGTAATTGAATGAAACTGTTTTCTGGACATTATCCATCGTCCAAGACCAAATAAAATTACGACGTTTCGGAGATGATAATCTATCTCCGTCTTCAGGTAAAAACCCACTCTGTTGGACCCAATCGATTGAGGTAATCTCCGAAATACCGTGGTTTTATTTATTTTATTTTATTTTATTTAATCTTGGACGATCGATAATGTTCAGAAAACAGTTTGCTTTAGCAACGCACCATCGTAACAAACTTTCAGAATTCAATTACACTATCACTTCTTGTTTCTTGCTGTCTGTGCTTTATCTGAGGAGACAAATCAGAGACGACGAGCTACGATGGAAGAATGGACCAATAACAGCTGGTAGTCCAGTGTGTACAGATTAAGTAACACAGACAATGTGATGAATTTTATGACTTACCTCGTGACTTCACCAATTGCCACTTTTGGCTCACTCACGGATAAGGACTCTGGGATCTAAGAGCCAATTGCGGGTTCAAATACGAAGGGTAATAATGCCACTCATCACATCTACCCTGATGATGGTGACAGTCTTCAACACATTGTGACTCATACTTCCAAAGCTGATCACCCGAAAATAATTTATTGTTTTCGTCACATATCCTCTTCTACTAATTGATAAGGTTTATTGTTGTACCAGCAGTTTCTTGTAAAAAACAAATAATTCCTTATCTCTTGCTACAAAGAAGATGAACTTGTTTTGAAATATTTATATTTTCTAAAAATAATAAAGTAAACTTTTGAATACCCCTTCGTCATTAAGGGCTGGTATCTGATTCGCTTTCCACAGATAAGTCAACAAACAAGCTCCAAAAGGATTCTGATGATCCTGGATTGTACAAGCAACAAACAAACGAGATCATGGACATAGCCGATCCAGAAAAGGTCACGAGGGGAAGAGGTGGGCTAACACTGGAAACTTAAATATTTTTCATTTTATACAAACTTTTTTTTACCGATGTTCTATACAAGTTTAAAGTCTCCCTCATTTAAGCTATATGCCTAGTCTACCGTAACCTTTAAGTACCTTAGAGAATTACGAAAGAAAAATATAATTACTTAGGTCTCTGTTTAAACTTTCCTATTTCTGTTATTCTGTATATATAACAGAAAATGTCATACCCTTAAACCATTTTGTGTCAGTCCCCATATCACACAATTAATTACGCATTCTTTGTCATTTGTGATATGGAATCTTGTGTACAATTTTAATTCTTGGATTTAAATCGACTGGCAGTAAAATATATTTAATTTTTGTTACTTTCTCCCCTTTGTCTCTTTAAACAAAGTAAGATCTATCTTACGTATGGAGTAAAAACGAGGGCAGTAAAACTACAAAACTTTACAATAATATTGGTATTGAAACTAATGTCGCCAAGGGCAATATTCTTCTCTGTAACTAGTTTTCCAAAAATCCTGGGATTGTTCGCCCATTCAGAATTTCTTTACCTGCAGTTGTGGCTGGCACCCTAATTTACGAAATATGACAATGCTACTTAATGCAAATTTCCTCAGGCACTATTCAATTTAGAATAAATATGACCTATATCCACAAGGATAAATGTTCAGTTTCATATTAATATGTGTTTTCTCTTGCATTTTAAAGAGTCTTCATAATAATTTGTCTTTATCAGCCGTCTTTTTTCTTCCTTATTTCAGGTGATGCTACGGATCTAAAACTGCGAGAAAAACTTTGGGAAAACTCAAGATCACCCCCACTGGTTCCTGTACCTTCTTTCAGCTGCCAAATTTTTATCGTATTTGCCGTCATTATAGTCTGGTCAAATATTCAAGCACGCTTCCTGGTCTGAATATTTAAAAACTTCTTGACAGAATGAATACATATAAATAATTGTTCTGTGGTTCTGTTCTGGTGTCCGTCATCAGAAACTAGAAAGGTGTGCGTGACACATGAGTGCGTGAGATAAACAGTTTGGAAAATAATTATTTCCAGCCCTTTCTCTACGGTAACACTTCTGGCCACTTTCGCGTTAAAATAGTATTAGTTTCTTTAATTGACATTTAATTATTCATTTTTATGGAATCTTAATGTAAACTGTGGAACAAAACTTACAACTCACATAAAAATATATTTAAACACAAAGAATATAAAAAACTTTCTCGGCAGTTTGGGATTATTCCTTACTGACGGAAACATTTTGAACCCTTTAAAAATAAAAAAATGTAAACTTCTAATCTTACGGATTTTTGAGAAATGATGAAGGTAATTTTAAGTTTATATCTGTGCATACTACAGGTAACTAATCTTAATATTACTGTTTATAATTGTTCCTCATGATCAGAATAAACATAAATGTAATATTTGGCGTATTTCTAAATTTTGAAACATAAAATTTAAAATCACAATTGCTCTACGGAATATTTTAATGCAATTAAAATTTCGGTCCCATTATAAAACTACGGTTTAATTTAGTTTTGTGAGTGAGAATTTCATATTCTGATGTTTTATATACGTACTTTCGAGGCTACACAACACAGACTTGGATGAATGAAGTGTAACAGTGAAGACAGTGCTCCAGGATTTGTGCTTTCAGTTAAGAGACCTTTATAATAAGACCTGTCTTGCAGAGATGAGTTTTAGGGTCCTACAGGTTTCTGTGAATTGCGTGATGACACTAGCAGAGCAAGATTTAGGTTAGGTTCCGTAAAATTCTGTACAGACATCAACTGAGAGATTGTTCCTCAGTGGATATTGCTTCTGTTTGTGTTGCTAATACCATGGAAACTGTTTCTAATTTATTATCTGACCATGGACGTCCGCATTTATCTATTTCTTATTTCATTTCTTATATATTTTATAAGCAATGTCTATTAATGCAACTCTATGTTCTTTTTTTAAAGCCTAGTATTTGACGTATTGTAGATAATTGTACGCTTCTTACTGTTATTATTGTTGTTGAATATTCCTCTTTGGTTAATTATCAAGCCGTAGGAGATAAAGCTCCAAGCTTTCTTCACAAGATAAAGGTAAGTGGTCAGTTTTATATTTCAGGACCTCATTATCCAGTTACCTACTGAGCAGGAGGCCCAAAAGGGATCAAAATATTCATCATTCTGTAATTAATCAATTTAGCGACATAGATTACCTAACTCATTATCGTCATGATCACTGGTTTGCTTTAAACAGTGTGTAATATGGAGTCGAGATGAAGAATGGTGTTTTGTCTTCAATAAGAAATCCTCCAACAAATAAATGAAAAAATTAAAACTTATTCATTAGCGACCGTCACCACTCTTCATTGGATATTAGAACGCTGGACTTGTAATCCTGGGGTCCCGGGTTCGATTCCCGGCGGTGCCCGAATTTACAACTTGTGTTGGGCAAGGCCGTGGTCCAGGCATCACGGAGTTTTCCTCCGGGGTTTCCCCGGTTTCTCCGTGGCATCACAACAATTACTCCACTTTCATCATCATCTCGCGAAAAGGGGGTCACAGCAGGAGCGTTAAATGTCGCGGTCCCGGTCGAACCCATGTACTGATGGGTCGTGAATCCTGCTAACCACCAATGCACACCATGCTGAATGGTGTGTACTGGATACGAAGAAGATGGATATTATGGTCATTGAAGATGGAATGTGTTCATGAAGAATTTGTATTTCAGTATTGTTTTCTGATATTCAGTTTGTGTAATTATGTAACCTATAAGGTGATTTGCGTTGGATCTCAGGGACTTTCCGTCTGTCAGTACATGTCTGTAAATACCAACTGTAAGAGCTATTCAGAGATATCAAACCCCATGTATAGTATTTACCATGTGTGACTGGTGTGAATATGTCACATTCAATGTTCTTTACGGTGTTTAGCGAAGCTTGAATGCACTTTCGTCAAGTCACAGTACTCGTCACTGTGACCTAGAATCGAACTGCTGATGGCAGTTAATTATATTGGAGATGCAACTCTCCAGTGGGAATGAGAAAATAATTAAATAAATAATATGCAATTTTTGAATATGTGCAACAAAGAGGGAAACAAAATAATTTAAATCAAAATGTATCACTTAGAAAATTGAAACATATTTATTGAAAGAGCATTTGGACTGCCCAATATACTCTGTCACTCAAGGTAATCTCATTTGTACACCTTAAATTTGGTTTTGGTTTGATAAAAATTTGCAAAGGAATTATCTGAAACTATGTTTTTATTTTTAGTGCATTTGGAAATCGTATTAGAATCAGAAAATGTAACACTTAAATTTATTAAGAATTGGACTAATAAATACATTGAAAACACTAATACTGTTCATAAAAACAATACTTTCATTCAGAAGCCAGTATATATGTGCTCTAGGAACAAGTATATTAAGTTCAATGCATTTAGAGTTCATTAAAGTAAATAGTACATTTAATAAGATGGATATTATGGTCATTGAAGATGGAATGTGTTCATGAAGAATTTGTATTTCAGTATTGTTTTCTGATATTCAGTTTGTGTAATTATGTAACCTATAAGGTGATTTGCGTTGGATCTCAGGGACTTTCCGTCTGTCAGTACATGTCTGTAAATACCAACTGTAAGAGCTATTCAGAGATATCAAACCCCATGTATAGTATTTACCATGTGTGACTGGTGTGAATATGTCACATTCAATGTTCTTTACGGTGTTTAGCGAAGCTTGAATGCACTTTCGTCAAGTCACAGTACTCGTCACTGTGACCTAGAATCGAACTGCTGATGGCAGTTAATTATATTGGAGATGCAACTCTCCAGTGGGAATGAGAAAATAATTAAATAAATAATATGCAATTTTTGAATATGTGCAACAAAGAGGGAAACAAAATAATTTAAATCAAAATGTATCACTTAGAAAATTGAAACATATTTATTGAAAGAGCATTTGGACTGCCCAATATACTCTGTCACTCAAGGTAATCTCATTTGTACACCTTAAATTTGGTTTTGGTTTGATAAAAATTTGCAAAGGAATTATCTGAAACTATGTTTTTATTTTTAGTGCATTTGGAAATCGTATTAGAATCAGAAAATGTAACACTTAAATTTATTAAGAATTGGACTAATAAATACATTGAAAACACTAATACTGTTCATAAAAACAATACTTTCATTCAGAAGCCAGTATATATGTGCTCTAGGAACAAGTATATTAAGTTCAATGCATTTAGAGTTCATTAAAGTAAATAGTACATTTAATTTGAAGATTTACAGTATTTCAATATCTATGCATAACTATCACTGTTAAATTTGAGTTGATTTAGATGGTGTTTGTAGGGGTAGAGGATATATAGCTCCATGTATTCTTAACCAGGGAATTGGGTGGATTTTACTCCGGTTTATTTAACGATGTCTTTGATTGCTTAGAATAAACAAAATTCAATAATGAACAATAAATTAGAATAATGTAGAAGGAAGCTGTTACAATCTAGGTTGTGTAATATTGCTTAATTTACCCGAACAGGCTGAGGAAAACCACGGAAAATGTATTCAGCGTTTTAGTTACCTGGGCCGATATTTGAACGCAGATTTCCTCGTGTACAAAACAAGCGATGAATCGACCGCGATGTTCGGTATCACTAGATGGGGATAAATGACCATTTAACGTTCCGGCTGCTTTATCACTGGAGAAAGATATCCCAGGATATGTTGAATATGAAGCTGAAAAAATTCTAGGAACCGTCTGGCCATGGTGACCAAGACAAAAAGTCTGTGATCCTGCGCGAAACTGAAACCCAGTTAGCCACTGTATTGAGCTATAGTGGCTCCTTCTTATGATAATTATTGTCTTTGAAGTTGTTAAAGAAGTTGAGGATTTAGCTGGGAAACTATAGTAGCAGCACGATTTTCCTAGGCGATGGGAAGGGGGGGGGGGTTACGGTCTAGGTATTGGGGCTGTTTTCTGTCTCTTACAAATCTTTCGCGGTTTTAAAAACATTTGAAAATACTCTCTGGTGTTTCCATGTCCCAAAAATCATTTACCAGGGTCGACCTTCGGTTCAATTTAGACGCGATGGTAAACTCATATTTTAACGGACACACACGAATACACCGCATCGTAACATCATTAACGTACATTGTCTCTTGCGAAAGAAAGTAAGCTAGAAACAGGTGTGCCCTGAAATAAGAATAACTTCTTTGTGATCGCGAATATTTCCGATCTGATCCGATTTCTGACGATTGCGCCGACTGGAAAGTTACTACGAAGTTATGTTACCTTTGTGTAAGCGTGACGGTGGAGTGGATTTTTAAGTATCTTCTAACAGTGTTTATTCTGGTGAAAGTGATTCATTATTAGTGTACTACTGCGTAAAGTTGTGACTGATACATGTCGTAATAGTTTGGTTTATAAATCACAGTGTAAATTAGATTCAGTGTCGTATAAAGTTCATCAAAAGAGTGGCATGGTGGGCACATGGCTTCATGTTCGAACATCCAATTCAATGGCAGCTCCTAGGTTAGGTTGAGGTAAGAATAAGTTAATGGCATTTAGTTCTGTGAATAATTTGGTGATATTACATACAAATCGAGGGAACGTTGATGTATTTTTACTTTGCTGCGGGGTTTAATAATTAAATCCATCAACAAAAATGTAATAGTACGTGTATGCATTAGGTGAAGCGACGTGGAAACGTAAAATCTTGGGCACAATTTCACCGTGCAGTATGCTGCCATCTCCAGTTACGTACGTTAACTATACCACAGCGAACAAGCTGATGTAGTTCTGCTTGTTGTTAAGAGGTAACACCACAGTGAAACACTCTGCTCCAATCAATATAATCAAAGAGCAGAATTCGACTCTTGCATTTCGGTTCTAGTCTTGGTGGTTGTAAGAGCGTAAATAAAAATAGTAATAAAGTAAACAGTCTCCAGCTAGAGCGAGGTCGTTTGTATCCAGTATCTAGTGTTATTGAAATGAATTCTTATGATGCAACCAACTGTCTCTATGTAATACAATCTTTCTTCAAAAAAGTCCGTCAGTGCATCTAACCAGAACCAGAAAAATCCAGTTCACTTATTATCTTCACATCTGCGCCTAGGTCAACCAGATTATCCCCTCCCTTCAGGTTTTTCAGCTTGTATGTAATTTATTGACAAACAATTGAAATTATTCTTTATGCTTTCACCTGACGGCAAGAACAATGGTGTTTCAACCAATATAGAAATGAAATATTCCTAGAAAAAATATCAGTTTCATGCATTAAATTTGTTGAGTTTAATCGTACACCTGCTGTTGTTTTGTGTAGGAATTGTTTTGCTAGGCTTAACTTCTGAAAATTTGTATGATATGCTTAGGCTGTTCCAAAATTTAACTGTGGTATTTCCTTTTGTAGATTTGTAACTTTTTTTTGTGGGATTTAAAATAATTCCGAAATCGCTTAAACTCGGTATAGTGTATAGGTTTTTCAGTTAAACGACCGACTATAATTTGAGATTCATACAAGTTACACGAGTTTACGAAGATAAAATAAATAGTGGGAGGAAATTTTGATCACAACTACGACTGTTACTTGTACTTCTATTACCACTACCTTACGAATATAACAATGTCGGATGAGGTTGCAGAAGATAGATGTTGTGCAATTTGCTTGGAAATTACTACAAATCTGCTTCACTTTACTCTTAAGCAAGCGGCTATGCTGTTCCATTCTACTTCCTCATGACTCATTAATTAACTGTTATACTACCACGTCAGATTTTACACGAAGCATGATTTGTCATGCACGCAGAATAAATTCTATTGGACAAAATTCCGACCAATGTACAGCCGTCAATTTGAAAATTAAAGAGGCAACATTTGCTCTTAAGCAACGTTTTGTATTACGTAGTCGCTTTGTTCAAAAGTGGTTTAAATAAAAAATAAATGAAAAATAAGCGATGCCTCTGCTTTCATCCTCGGGATAAATAATACTGAGCTGATTATGAAAACAAAGATGAGTGTTAGGCCATCGGGAATGTGGAAGCTGAGATGAACGTATGTTATGAAGATGAAATCTGTTCTAAGATAGAAGCTGAAGTGACTACAGGCATACCTCGTTTTATTGCGTTTTTTACAAATTGAATTGTGGCAACCCTGCGTCGAGCAAGTCTATCGGCGCCATTTTACAAACAGCATGTGCTCACTTCGTGTCTCTGTGTCACATTTTGATAAGCCTCGCAATGTTCTCGCATTGTTTTTTAGACATAAAGCTATTGCACACTTAATAGACTACAGTATAGTGTAAACACAACTTTTATATGCACTGGGAAACCAAAACAATTCGTGTGACTCGCTTTATTGCGGTGGTCTGCAACCTAACCCGCAATATCTCCGGGGTATGCCTGTATTTGTTATGAAAATGCAAATAGATGTTTCTTAAATGCCAGAATATTTTGCTAGATATTTTGTACTTTATTTTAGCAAGATCAAAATTTGTTACACCGTGACA